GATTTGGAAGAAACAATCTTGGATATCAAGTACTATGATATGATGGGATGGGGGATAGCTGTAGGGTGTGGTAAGCCCACTTGTAGTGATCCCATCTTTTCCATCTGGGCATTGACCGCTCTAAGATCTTGGAGGAGTCTGTATTTCCCTGATTTCTTTTTAATAACAAATATTGGGGTATTATGTTTACTGAGAGAGGACTTGATGTGGCCAAGCCTCAATTGTTCAGCTACCAAATTTTTGAGGGCAGATAATTTAGGTTCTATTATAGGCCACTGGTCCACCCAAATGGCATCATCAGAGAGCCAGGTGATGGGGATCGGCACGGGGGCCAAGATTGGAGTTGATCCCCGGTGGGCAGTGGCCGTTAGGATTGGGGGTGTTGGGCAAGGTGTTGTCCTTTCCCTGATAGTCCCAAGTTATCGTGGAGCATGATATCATCACAAAAGGCATGGTCATCTGTGGTAAGGACCACGCCCATGTCCTCTAGGATGTCTCGACCCCACAAGTTTCAGGGAACGTCTGCTACTGTGGGGGTAACTATGTCCTGGTTCCCATCCAAGTCCTTCCAATATACTGGACATGTGACCAGCTTGGCCACTGGTCCTTGTGTGCCGCCAACTCCTTTTATTGGTGGGCCTGGCTGGTATTTCCAATGAGGGAGTTTAAGGGATTCAGTTTCTGATATAGTGGTGACATCAGCCCCTGTGTCTACTAGGCCCTTTATGGCATCTAGGAACAGGGTCATTAGTGGGGAGTGGTTGAGTATTGGGAGAGTCCATAATATCTGTCTTGTTTCCCCTCTTGTGGGAAGGGCTGAGGGGTGCTCTGGGTGGAGTTTAAAGGAGCCGAGTCCAGTTGAGGCTGTGACCTACAGTCTTTAGCCCAATGGAACCCTCTTTTGCACTTGGGGCAGTGAGTCTTGGGGTGGACTGTACCTCTTGGGCAGTGTCTACGAAAGTGGCCAAGCCCCCCACAGTTCCAACAGCCTTCCAGCATTCCAAAGTGGGCGGGTTTTCCTTGAGACAAAAGAGTCTCCAAGGAGGCTGTCAAAGCCTCAATAGGGCCTGCCCTAGGGTTTAAGTCTCTAGTGGCGAGTACCCATTTGTGAATGTTATCATTGTGGACAGGTGCAATAGCATTACGAGTAGGGATATTTAGTCCCCCCCAAGTTAACTGTTTGATAAGCACCTCTCAGGTGGGTCCAGACTCCACCCTCTGCTCTACTGCCTCGGTGGGTAAGGAAGTCCGTGAAGGACTCCCCTGATGAATCAAATTACGGAAAAAGACTTGTGGGTCATGGGGGGGGGGGGGGAAC